TAAATATTTGTAAAACGTATTCAAGAGGAAAATGCATCTCGGCACCCTTGATTAATCTCTAATTACAACTTTTTTTGCATACTTTAAGGAAACTAACAATAGGATGTCTACCAGCAGACCTACAGATTTTCCAGACCAGAAAAATAATGTGAATAGCTTTCAGGAAAACCGAAAAGGCAAAAAAATAACAACAACAAAATACTGCAGCAAACATTTTCGGGAGCTTTGTTGTCTGCGCCTTGCCGTCCGTTAATGAAGCTTATGAGCTTTGGCGCCTAAGTCGCAGCTCACTGAACTGCAACACAAAATAACAACCACAGGCACAAGGGAAGAATTGCAGTGGGCCAAAGAGAGGCCAGACTGTAAAGTACAGGTACAAGGAGAGAGGAGAAGGGAACGCAAAAGCTTGGCGGGAACAAAAGGAGAGCTCTTCGCCAGTCAATGACTGCACCCTGTAACCACCTGCCCATACCGCCCAGGCCACCCCCTCTCTCGACCGCCGCCCCCTCCACGTTCTCTCTTCTCTACCTCTACCGCAAAGTGAGAAAACCGCAAACGCACAGTTACGCTCGGCTTCAGCGGTTGGCCTCATTAAATCTCGAAACGTTTATGAGCGATCACCGTACTGCAGAAACTCTGAAAAAGTTTCTGATATAAATACAAAACCCAGCCGAAAAAAAGAAAAACGCAGAGTAAACAATTTTAAAAGCGGCTCATGATTAACATTGGAACGCATTTTCAATGGATATCTGATTCTGCATGAACTGATTTGAGAGGAACAGAGTGTCAGATTCAGTGAGCGCCTTAAGCAGAACGTTTGTAAAGATTATTACAGTAGATATCAGATATGAGATGTAATGGGGTGTGTTAAGAATAATTTATATATGTAGATAATGAATTCAGCAACAAGAATATACCTATTATTTTGATTAGTAACTAGACAATAAGTTTAATAACCTCTTCATTAAATTTTGGGCCTAGGTTGTTTATAACCTGAGCGCTCACTGTTTAAACAATGTATTGAGGGGAATTATAAATTCTGAAATGACACGACCCAAGTCAAGTGCAGCGGAAGGGATCCATTACGCAAGTGGAGAACGGAAAGAGGGACCGTGGCTCGAGAACGAGACAGGGAGAATCGAAGGTGGATGTTGTTATTAGTAACCTTTATGTTTATTATAATTTTGAGTTATATGTAAATTAATCCAAAGATCTGAAACTAAATATGTTAACTATAACTAATACACTTTCTTGTGTTTCCATTAAAAGTTCTGGTTAACTGAGAAAATAAATTTTGGCACAATATGATTACCATCGGACAGTCTGATCTTTTGAATGGACAAGTTCCACAAAACCAACTTCTGTATTGTTTCATTTGAATTTTTCAAAATTCCCTTTTCCAGGGAAAGAAAACTACCTCTGGCGCGAAGCACGCCTCCTTGGCTGGCACGCCTACACCAGTCCGCTAGAGGGTGTGGACGGGGAAGGCTCAACGAGGTGCTGGCAGCTGTCCTGGTGTCCCGGTCGGTCCTGGAAAGCGCAAGTGGGCTAATAACGGTTTGTGCATCCGCTGCAGCGGGCTAATACGTTGTTGCCTTAGTAACAGTTGATTTTACGCTTCTTCCATCCGTGCGTATGTGTTAATGTTGTTGTTGTTGCGGCTGCTTCCAGTTGTTGTTGTTTTTGTTAAAGGTCACCATTGGCGTATCGCAATTTTCTCGTATTATTGCTGCTTCTTCTTCTTCGCGTGCACGATGTTGTTGTTTGTGTTTTTGTTGTTGGCATGACTACATATACTATAAATCGAATATAAAAATATATCGATGGAGTGCGAAGGGGGGGCGGTGCTGTGGGCGTGTCCCTGCAGCTGCTGGCGTCCTTTATTGTTGTTGTTCTTATAGTTGTTGTTGTTGTGCTTATTTAGGGCCTTATTATTATCCTCCTCCATTTTTGTTGGTAAGAATTCCGGGGGAACTCAACCCTTGGCAAATAGATTACTACCACTTGCACATTATCGCGTTTCTTTGTTTTTTGTATTTCCGTTAAGTGCAAAAATAAAGTAAAATTCTTGGCCATACAAAAGTGTGAGTTTTGTGTAAAAAATGCAATAAAACGCTACGAAGCCGATTGCGGGGGTGGGAGCAAGATGGCGATATACGAGGCGAGTCCAAAGCGTCACAAAACGATTATAAACAAGCCAACGAACCAATGGAAATCACTGTGCAACCCTAATTCAGCCTAAATCCAAGCAAAACAGCCACTAATATTAAGTAAATTACTTACTTAACAAGCACTTTTTGTTTAAAAAGATTTTCAGACAGTGGGAAAGTTAGAGTTGAACCCAAATCGATGTTTATGCGATACTACCGATAGTTTTCGGAAAGGTGGCAGTATCAATATTTCGCCATCAGCTCGATATTTTTACAGTTCTCACTAGTAAATGTTGTTTACACAACAGTACTTCTGCCGCAGTTTGTGAAGCTAATGTATATATATATATACAAAAATTATTTAGTTATTAGTTAGTTGTATCAGAAATTAATATTCAATTTAATATAATTCCTGGAAAGTTAAGGAAAGAGCAAGCACGTCCAAGTAAATTCTGTTAATTCCAAAAAACGCTTTTAAAATCATAATCGTTGATTCCCTGGAACGATATTTTTAATATTATGGTATAGCTATTTTTTGACATTCGTTCCCAAATCAATGACATGTTCAAAAACTGAAAATATGCACTATCGCTCTGTATATTACCATCTCACAGTTATCGAGCTACTATCGATAGATAAACAGTGCTAGTAAGTGCGGTAATTATCAGCCTTGCCAGATCATTGAACAATATAAATTTAAATTTAAAAATTAACGATTTGACACTTATGCAACACAGTAGCTTGTCGAAGGTATTTCAATAAACCAGATCACCAACAGATAAAAATTCCTCGGCAAAAACATTCCGGCAGCTAGCAACACGTAGTGTGGTAACAAATCAACAAGCAAATTGCACAGTTTTATTCGCACGCACCAGCATAGATAGCCAAGACACCAACCCGCCGCCCATTAACTCAACCCCCCAAACAACCAAACCAAAAAAAAGTAAATTTTTTTGTTTTATTAAAAACTAAAAACCACTAATTGCCCTCCCCCCCCAACCCAAAGCCCCCCCACCAACCCGCCCCCCCCCACCAAAAGGTTATATGAACCGGTGATGTTCGTCTAGCTGGACTGCTCTATTTCGACCGCCGTTTTGCAACACCGCCAACAGACACACACACTATTCGTCTTGCTTGCACGCCCGGTTTGCCAAAGGGACAGTCATTCACTGCGGTCAGCTAAAGTACTATTATCTCACTTGCACGCGCGTTCAAAAGGCCCCGCATTGATTGGGAAAAAATAATCATCGCCGTAGTCTTCGTCGGGTCGCCGTTTTTACTCGCAGTGCGCTGGTGCTGCTTTATTTCGAGACAAGGGACACAATCGAGAGAGCCATATTTAAGCATCAAAGTTCTTGAGGCGCAACGCAGCTTTTGTGTTTCGTTTTCGTTCAATTCTAAGCGAGCAGGAGATATATTGAAAGAAAAATTCCCAATTCTGTGCAAAGAACAAAAGAAATACGCGAGACACCAACACCAGCAAACAACCATCCAACCAAACACACACACACACAACCCAGAAAATCAAATTTCAATCAGAAAATGGCGTTAAAAAGAATCAATAAGGTATGTGAAAAAAAAAACTAAAAACTCTACGAAACGGGTTTAAAAAAAAGAACATTTTGGTTTAAACTAAACACAAAGTAGAGACAAATGTGAGCAGACATAAAATTAGTACGGAAGCGAAAAATTTTATGCAAGAAATGTGAAACGTAGGTACACGACGGAAAAGTAAAAATCCACGAACGGCAAAACGAAAAGAAAGAAGCGTGCAAAAAAAAGAGGCAAGGGGGAAAATAAGCTGTGGCGGCGTTAGCTTAATTAATAAGTTTCTAATTAGGAGATTAGAAATTTTTGAGGGTGGTGAAAAAGGGCTAAGGATGTGTGCGTGTGGTGGGCAAGGCAACGTGTGGTGCAGTCATCGTTTCCGTTACTTTTGCGAGAGTGTGTGTGTGCGATGCGTGTGCGTGAAAGTGCAATGCAAATGTGCATTGTTTGTGTGCGAGTGTATTTGTGCGTGTGCGTGTGTGCCGGGCACCTGGATGCATTTACATTAATGCAACTATACGGCGGAGTTTTCACAGCTCTACGGGCGCTGTTACCCAATACACGCTGTACACGGCACTCGCATACAGTCTCACTCTCACCTTACACATACACAGACGCACACACTGCCATCGCCGCAGAAAGATCCAGCAAAAAATAAAACAGCAAAAGCAAGAAGCGTATAAAATTAACCTAACCCTACTTTTTGCGCTGATAATTCAGAAATAGTGTTGCCCCAAGTATATATATGTATTGAAATATTTATATATATATTTAGGTGGTGTGGCTATAGTGTGCGTGCTTCGATAATTATTTTTAAAGTGCTTGCGCGTCGTTTGTCCTTGTCCAGTAATGCTTTTTAACCCCTAATAGTGTCAGAATATAGTATGTTCAAGGTTCATGGCGTAAAACCCTTGAAACTTCTTGAAAAAAAAAAACATTAGTAATATTTTGTAGTTGTGGAAATTTTACTTGGCGAATTGGGAGCTTTTTTTTTCGTTTGCAGCCGGTTATCATAGTCATACCCCACACACCAATACATTAGCAAATACAAAGTCTCGCCATCACTTGGCTATGGCCATTGCATGCCATCTCGCTCAGACCTTGGCGCCTTCCCTTTGCCAGCGACAGCTGAGGCCGCAATCGGTCTCGCTTTAGCAATGGGGCAGAGCCAAAGAGAGCGCAAGTGTGTGCGTGATTAGTGTTGCAAAACACTCGAAAACCAAAAGGGGCCCCCAAATAATTAGTTATAAATTATAATTAAGCATAATTTACATACAAAATGAGCGGTGAATGCGGAATTTGTACATTATCTATGCGTGTGTGTGAGCGTGAGAATAATTTAAAAGCCTTATGTGTGTGTATGTGTGAGGGGGGGTCTGCTGACTGTCTCGACGTCGCAGTTGCCATAAAGGCAGCACTGCCGGCGTCGGCGTCATGGCCATTGAGTTTTTCCTCGTTTTTCATAGATTTCCTTCTATTGTAAACTATTCCTGCCTGAACGAAAACGAAATGGCACAAACCGGAAATAAAAGTATATTTTTTTAGTAAAAATTTAACAAATCACGCACACCCCTTTTTGTGGCAAATTCTTTAAGGTTTTTTTAAGTTGGCCTCATTTACCAAAAAAAGAGAGGTAAAGAGCGAGAGAGAATAGTCGGCTTAAACGCGGATCAAGCTCTCTTGAAATAAATACTGAAAGAAATGAAGTTTCAAACATATATCAAATCTTTTAAGACACATGTAGAATTTAAAAAAGAAAAAAAAACATGTGACTCTTAAAGAAATATCCATCTGTTCTTCAAATTTAAAAAAAAAAGTTTAGTTTGTGTTTATTCACCTGGTTGATCATAAAAACAATATTTCTCTCTGTGTACATGTGTGCGTGTTTGTTTTTGGTTTTAGCTTTATTTGTTTTGTCTTTTATGAGTCATAACTGCTCTGACTTCAATCGAAAAAAGAAATGTTACAATTTCTTGTAATTTATTTTTGCTCAACAGGTACAATTCCCGGAATGATGAGTGAGTGAGATGGGGCGAAGAAACACTGCGTTTTTTCTACTTTTCGCGACGGCTATTTTTGTTGTGTTCCACTCAAATTTTGGGGTGCCGTTACAAGTACACGCACACTCTGAAGCTCTAGCTTCTTTTCCTCTCCATTCTTCTCATCTTGCTTTCCCCTTCACCTCTGAGCTGTGCTCTTCTTTCGCAGCTCATCTTCATTATTCTTTTTTATATATATATTCCTTTATTTTTTTTTTTTTTGCCGGTTTACCTTACACCTTATTCTCTCTCCCCTTTTTATGCTAGTATGTGTGAGTGTGTGGCAGCTGTGATAACTGAAGAAGCGGCAGAGAGAGAGGGGAGCCGCTCAGCTGTGTGCGTACGAGTGCAACAGAGATGGAGCGAGTGGGCGAGGGGGTGGGGCTGAGGGAGACAGCGCCATTTGTGGTCCGGGCCAACGAACTTGATTTTTCACGTCTCTCCCTCTCGCTCGCTCACGCTTTGAACGCAATTCTCGCATAAAAATGTTTGTTTTGTATCCCCATATTTCTGTTTTTAAATTCTGCATTTTAAATTTTACATCATTTGCATGCCAAGCACACTCATCTACATATATACACACGCACACACACCCTCCAAAGTGCAGGAGATATCGTTGCATTATAGACCAAAACAAAAGAACCGACAACCGGAAAACATAAACGACTTGCAATGAAATTCCATTTTTGACTATTTTCCCTTTGGGAAACTCTTTTGGTAGTTCCTGGGTGCTACAAAGGCGGCTTTTGTTACCTTTGTCACCACTAAATGGGTTTCAGATCATAATTAGAGATATTTTATATTTATTTCACCGAATCAGGCTAGTTAAATAAACTAAAAACGATAGATAAAGCATGTCTAAAACTCAGATCACTCGGTAAAAGAAATATGAAAAACGGTTCGTTCTCTTAAAGAAAATAGGATCTTAGAGAAATAGGATTCTTATAAGATCTTATTATATATATATATATATACTTAAAATTTAATCACTAATCTATATTTCCTTTTGTTTAATAGGAACTGCAAGATCTGGGCAGAGATCCACCTGCACAATGTTCAGCCGGTCCAGTTGGAGATGATTGTAAGTATGGTTAATGTTATTCACCATCACCATGATTTGCAATGAGTCAACTTTATGTTGTGGAGCTATGAGTTCAGTTTTGATTTCACCATAACTTGTGGGAGCTGAGAAAGGCAGAAAACAAGATGGGGAAACATTTTTGAGTTGCCAAATTTGAGTCAAGTTTTTAGGTATTAAAATCAAAATATGTAGAAAGTCATTTTTAAATTATGGAAATAAGAAAATATGATTGGTACTTCTGATATTTTTTGAATTAATAAGAAACAACCACTCATGAAATTCAAAGAAAAGTTTAGTCAGATTAATAAAAATTCAAAATTATCTTTTAAGGCTCCATAGAGAGTTGAAAAGACCCCGGCGCGAAACAGCTAATGAGAAATTTAAATATTATCGATTGTATATTACCACGTCACAGATTTCAATCGTGACTGGGCAAAATATGTTTATATATTGTTTATTCACCTATTTGTTGTTAGTTTTTGTTTTTTTTTAATGCTTAGCCTATGCTAATTTGGGATTATTTTTCACCGAGTTTGGGGGATTGAGTTCTTTATATTGTGATAGCGACGGCCTCGAAACAGCTGATCGCCATGACTTGGTTCTGGTTTCATAGCTTGGCTTGTTCTGTTCTTTGTTTTTCTATTTCTCTCTGTCTTGAACTCGATTCAAAAACTCACGATGCCAACATGCAATTAGTCAACAAATTCACACTGGCTTTTGGATCAGATTCAGTTACGTTATAACACGTAGAGCGATACCAAAGACAGACAACCGTTACTGAAAAGCCTCCAAAAGTAGTGGTAGTAGGAGAAGAAGAAGAGGTACCAGCCATATGGGGGTCATTCGCAAATGACGTCACTTAAAAGTGAAATCGGGTAATTACATAGCCTTGCCGCAGGTGATTTCTGGCCAAGAAAAAGTGCTCTGTTATACTTTGTTTAAAATGAAATTTTAGAAGAAAAAAAGAGGTCAACAAAGTCACAAAATTTACTGGTTTCTTCGCGGTTTTAATGTTTTTATAAACTAAACTTCAAACTAAATAAATAAAACAAGTATTTTGTGATGTTGATTTACAAAAATGTAAATAGCGGCTATATATTCTAAGGCTTTCCGCATTCTTTTGTAGTAACTTTCCTTGAAAGGTGTTAAAAAGATTTTGGAATCGCGCATAAAATATAATGATTTCAAGAACCGCCAAAATGTTGTTACATTTTCTATATCACAGCATTTTCCAAAGCACTTTTCTTTGTGTTGCATTTCCCTGTTTCTCTACAAAAGCGAGGAAATTGAACCCATTCAAGTTTCCCGTGAGGCAGTGAATAATGCTAATTGTCATCGTTTGTTGATAATTGCGGGCACTGAAGCGATTTCACTCGATTTCTATTATCAGTTTATAATCGTCTATATAGTAACTTGGGTTGTACATATATAAACGTAAGTGTTTTTTGTGTACAACAATTCGTTTGACTTGTTTCCGCAGTTGTTATCATTTTGCGTTGCATTACCATTTGGCACTCTCAAAACCTTGGCCGAAAAGTTTCCACAAAATGAAGTAAAAGAAAGGAATTTGCAATAAAGGGCGGGGCCTATTTTGTAGTTGGTAGCTGGTTGGGTGGTATAAATTTTCCTCCCATGGAAGAGACAACTCCATAGATGTTTTTTGCTCAGTGTGGGGTTGGCTTTTCAGTCGTGTGAGTGGGAATTAATCCATTGAAATCGTATTACGGCAAAAGAAACCTTATGATTTAATCATGTATTTAAAATGGAAATTGATTGAATGCTTCTGAGCTAAGTTAACCATGAAGGGATTTGAGATAGTTAGTTAATTGATCATAAGTAGACTACTTAAAGAGTTTTATTACTGAAATTCTAGGTTCTGACTAACTTTATTAGAAAGAAAATCATTTTTTGTCAATAAATGTTGTGACTAATCATAGCTCAACATTCCATTTCACTCAATCACCAGCTAGATATTCAAAGAACAACAATAATATGTTTCTAAATGTGTTTCTTGTATAAAAGTAAATATTATATTGCTTTTATTACTATTTATCTTTCTCCCCCGGGGCTTTTATCGCCTAGCAGTGCCCAGAATTTATTGATTATTGTTTAAGTGGCATAATCACCATGGCTCGGCTGCAGTGATGAGATTACTTTTGTCTGAGCTATGGCAAATACAATGCCGTCGCATTCTCCAGACCCAAACTCTAAACTGCTAAATCGACAAATGAACATTTCGTGTAATTATGGTCAAGGCAGCAACAGCAGCAGCAGCAGCAGCGGCAGCAGCTGGTAACCGAGGGCCCAGTTCCCAGTTCTCAATACTCAAGTTCTCACCCAAACAGAGAGGGTTTCCCCAATCGTATTCGTTTGGTTCCCCAGGATGACATTGACGGCATAGCCAGTGGCTCTGTTTTGGCCATGGTTCTGAGCCAACTGCCACACGTTCCGTGCTCTCTCTTCATGCAGTTTGTTCGCAGAGTACAAGGGTATTTGTATGCTATGTTTGTAGTAGGGTACAAGGGTATATAGAATTCGTGGACATATATATACATATATGTCAATAAAACTCAAGGCTTGCATGGCAGAAAATGTATAAATGAAATAAATTAAAAATGAAAATTTTATTAAAGGAAATATTAAAACAGTCTTTAAGGATGTTAATATAAAGGAGGGTTTCCTTGTAGAGTTAAATATAAATTGATTTTTTAGCTCAAAGTTATCTTTTAGACTTCTATATAAGAAAGTAAGAAAGTTAAAAAGTAATTGGTTTCTGAAAGACTTCTATTACAGGGTATCATCTTATAGATCTACTCCACATTTTAACGTTTTTGTTTTTGTTTCATGGGAGAGAGTCATTTGGTGCTTTTTCTGCTGCTGACGTCGCTGCCAATTGTCGGTGCCAAGGCTCTTTGGCTGGCATTGTTTGTGTTTGTTCTTTTGTGGAGGAATCGCTAAAGAGCATGGCCATGAGAAAGGAAGTGGGCTGGTGGGAGGGTGGCAGGTGCTGAGAGAGTGGTGCATTTAGTTAGGCGAGAGCGAGTTTTGCTGCAGTGTGAATGCGCATATACAGTAAGGATTGACTCAGGAGAACTAGGAAAAATAAACAAGTTTAAGATATTGAAAATTTGTTTATTAAGTCAAATATAATATACTACATCCGTCTAAATTGGCAAGAGTTAGTCTGTTTTTTGATACAGATAGAATAATTTATCTACCTGTTAGGCCCTTAAAGGGATAAATTATGAAAACCAGAAAAAAAAGTGCTAAAAGTGTGTATGTTCTAATATTTCCTAGCATCTCATTGTTATTTCCAAATATCCATTAAGTTGCTCATTATGTACACAATAATACAGCTCCAAGGCAGATTAGGACTTAATGCAAATCAAAGCAAACAAAAAACGTAATACTGCAGTTGCATTTTTTGTTTGCCCTCTTAGGGCTCTATCCTATTATCTCTAAATGCGTTCTTACAAATGTTTGATTAATGTCTTTCCTTTTTCACTTACAGTATTTCACTGGCAAGCTACAATAATGGGCCCGGTAAGAGGATTTTTAAGATGAACTGGATGAGAACAAAATGGATTTATAAATTGATTTGCTGTTTAATTTTAAACCTAAACTAATTTCTGTTGATTTATTGCAGGTGCATTATGGTTTTGCATTCAATGTTGATTATAGCATAACAATGGATCAGTTAATATTGTTTTTAAAAATATAATTAGAATGAAAAACTAAGCCGTACTTATTTATTATTAAGCTGAGTGAAACCTCAGTTGATAAGAATGATGAATTAATGTAAAGATTAGTCTGAATAGATAAGCTTATATAGTAGATTTGTAAACATTTATAAACATTTATTTAAATAAAATGCCACTACAGATGTAATTGATTTTTGTTTAGACATTAATCAATTTAAACTTTTAAATAAATAATTTTGTCGGCATCTGTTATTCTGAAATGCAAATAAATATAGAAAGAAATATATATATATTGTCAAGAGATTTTTCTGAATTAAAACTAAAACGTAATAATCTTAATGAAACCATTTTATCAGCTAATATTTGTCAAATGAATGCATTCCCATTTTCTACAAACGAGTAAATCAACAGCAAATAAATATGTTTAGATAATATCAACTAGTCTAGCCATACTAATACACATTATCATCTGTTTATTTCAGCCGGACAGCCCTTACCAAGGAGGTGTATTCTTCTTAACTATACATTTTCCAACAGACTATCCCTTTAAACCACCCAAAGTGGCTTTTACAACGCGCATATACCATCCAAACATTAACAGCAATGGATCGATTTGTCTCGATATATTAAGATCTCAGTGGTCGCCAGCATTAACTATTTCAAAAGGTGAGTTTTGTAATTTAAATATTTATAAATCAAATTAAACTAATATATAAATATTTGTGTTTTTCTCTTTCAGTCTTATTATCAATTTGCTCTCTACTCTGTGATCCCAATCCAGACGATCCGCTTGTTCCAGAGATTGCCAGAATATATAAAACCGATCGGGAAAAATACAATGAACTGGCACGAGAGTGGACTAGAAAGTATGCTATGTGATGCGTTCCAGATTGCAGCAGTCCAACAGAATCAGCAAATTCAACATCAACAACAGCAGCAGTAAAAGCAAATGCAGATGCAACAGCAACAGCAGAAGCAGCAATAACAACAACATCAGCAGCAAAAACAACAGTAAAAGCAACAAAGATAACATCAACAATTTACAATAGTCAGATTCAGATGAAGAAGAGGAGCTGCAGCCGCGGCATTGTTAATGGCAATGGCCGCCGTGCGGTTGACCACAACAATAACCACAATATCAGCAGGACCTGCGGCCACAGCAGCAGCTACAACCACAACACCAACAATTGCCACAACAACATCAGCAGCAACTGCAGCAGCAATAAGATCAGCAGCTGCCGCCATCATCTACGTCGACGCTGCCGCTGCTATCGCCCCCGCATCGGCATTAGCATTAGAAACAGCAACAACATTGGCAGCGGTAAGCGCCAGTGGACTGGAGGCCTTGCAGCAGAAGCAGCAGCAACAACATCAGCCGCAGCAGCAGTAGCAGCAGGAGCTGGCAAATTGGTGGACTGGGAATGAGTGTGTTTTGCCCCGAACAGAAACAGAACAGCATAAACGGAAATAATTTAATAATAATTACTGAAAAAATTATGTAAGCATTAAACATTAAAAGCTAGACAGCTACCAACAACAGCATCAACATAATAAGTTTAAATACAAAGAAAAACAAAACTACAAATAAAAATCAGCTGGAAAAATTATTATTATTATTATATTATATTTAAAGAACCGGAAAAATAAAAATTGCAAAAATTCAATTTAATATGAAGCGAAAAGGTGAACGAAGGTAGTAGGCTATATTCACTTTCCTTTCCGATCACCTGAAATGTTTGTAACTAAAAAGGTTTTTTGTATCTTAATTCCCATGCATGTTTTGACAAATTAGTAACAATATTTTGATGTTCTGAATGTTGTAGACAAATGTTTGTATTACATTCCCAATTTGTTTGTCCTAAAATGTCTGTGAAACTGTCTTACGTAAAATGTTTTTTAATTTGTAAACTATTGACGTTGATTTCCCGCTCTTGAAGTTGCAAAATGTGTTACTAAATAGATGTATCTGCCTATTGGTTTTTCATTTATTTCTTGATTTTGATTTTACAACTCACAAAGTTTATATCCGCCAAGTTATATTTTTTTTCTTTCCTAAGTTGTTAACGGTTATCTGGTATAATTACCAAGCTTTAAAGATCTGAGCGGGCTTGTTCATAATTTTAATTGGCGTTCTTTAGCGAGTTGGACTAATTTTGATTTATATTCTCAGTTTGCAACAACTTTTTAATTGGACAACATCGTTTGGACTCTGAAATGGGTTGCTTCAAGAGCTTTTGTTGTGAATACAGCTATCATCTTATAGCCATTACAATGCCAAGTGACAGCTTTCTTAGGTCAATAATTACACTTTTTAATGGCTTTTTTATTACGCTTTTTTTTTGGTTTACGAGGGTTTAATGATGCATAAGGGCAAGGAAATTTCTTAACTCGGTCAATGCGAAGGGCATTTGCCAAGAGACAGCTTAAGGTTGGTTGGAATAAGTATAAATATTCAGAGAGTGTTGGAATTTATTCGCAAAGGCCGTGGAAAAAATAAAAATATTCAGAAAGTGTTGGCAAAGGAAATAGTGGGAAGGGTTAAGAAGAAGGCAAGGAAAATATTCCACAGACTGCTGATTAAATTAAATTAAATCAAACACGTATATAAAATTTTAAAATTTTAAAACAAAACTGAAGATGCAAATCATCTTAAAAGATTTCAACAAAGTTATCACTTTTCTGCATATTCTTAGCTACCTTTTTAAAGGGTATTTAGAAGAGATCTTTAAATATTCAGTAAACGCTTTTAAAGTTCCAGTGTAAAGATCTTCGATGGCGGCAACGACCAGAGCATGCTAAATTAGCATTTAATCAATTCAAATATCAAATATAAAAAAAGAAGAATCATATGCTCGCTCGCCGCCAAAAGCTTATTTGAGCTTTTGTAAGATCTGTCTCTTAGAGCTCGTCTTTTCTTCTCTTTACGGCAATTTGCGATGTCTTCTCTTTCTTCCAAGGCAATGCAAACACACTCGAGGTCTGTGAATATGTTCATTTGATATTTTTGCCGCGTTGCGAGTGGTGTTCGCGAGAACTTTTCAGTGCCGAAGTGAAAATTCCAATTCGAATTCCCCGTGTGTGTTGTGTGTGGCCAAGTTAAACTAAAGTAAATCAAAATCAATTGAAGGTTATCTGGATCTTGGGGACCCTTGGGGGAATCTCAATTAACAAGTGCAATATGTTTGAGAGACACGTGCTGCGACGAAAGCTGTCCGTTTGGTCGATTGACCTGGAAAAGTTTTAGAAATTTTGGTTATGCAAACGGTTTTGTGAGAGAAATGTTTTTGTGGGCCATACAAGAAATACAAAATACAAACTCAAAATTGCAGTCGTGGAAACAAAATGCTTTTCGCTAAACACACAGAAAGAAAACATTTTTTATAATTGAAAGGGAAATGATCATTATTTTAATGAGGATTTTGTTTTGTGTTTTGAAAAGAAAACATTTTTGATAGTGTTCTCTGAACAAAGTTTAAAATCTCTGCAAATTGTGCTTGTTATATTCAAACTATAAAGATTAAAGATTACTTAGATTATTCAACTTTTTGATTGCTGTTTTTTGTGATAATCATCTGTTAAGCTGATCCTTAAACAAATATTGCTTGTAGATGCTTAATCATTAACTTCATCTTAAATTATATAAATTGAATGTTATGATCTTGTTAAAAAAACTTTAAATTATTGCTTTGAAAATAGTTAACTTTTGAGACCTTTTTGGGGAAAGGTTTCTTCCAGCTATAATCGATTAAGCTTTGAAGAAAGTCCAAGCCACAAAGAGTGAAAAAAAGAGAGAGAAAGAGAGAGGGAGAGTCAGAGAGATGAAGACTACAAAAAGAGAGCGAAGCTCGCTGTCTTTGTTGTCTCCAACATGGCAACACACACGCTCTCTCCACTTGGCACCATTCAAGTTGTCTTTTGTTTAGAAGCTCGACTCGATTTTCGCACTCTTCTGCGAAATGGGGAGGTGGGGGTGGTGGCTCTGGATAACTTGCCGGTCTGCAACTGGCCATCAATGTTTAAATTATTAGCCAAGAAACACGATCTGAGTTAAATTTTTGTAAATTTCATTAGGACTTTAAGTAGCCATGACTCCCCGTCCCAGAGAGATCCTTGAGGATGAAGATATATCTGCTGAATCTTCCACCTGCTATTTACGGAAATCTGGAAAGGATTCTGATGACAATTCCTGGGTAAGTGGAAAAGTTCGTTTTGTGTAAAAGGAAATCACTGAGCAATGAACTTTAGAGGGTTAGGCGGGTTATCGGGGATTTTTATATATGTTTAAAGGGAATGTACTAAGAATAAGTAAGTATATATTAACACACTTTAGTTAATCGGACTTTAATATTAAGGAATTTATTTACTGCACAGGAAAGATTAATATGATCTCCTTAGATAGTAATATTAACTTTTTTTCGCTCTTTTTTCACATCAATTTTGTCTTATCAAATGCACCCGGAAACTGCATTATCTCAAGATCCGCTCCTGTTCTCAGCGAATCAAAGCGGCACGTGCATCGCATCACATTCAATCACACCTGTCAAGTTCCCAAAAGTAATGGCCATTTGGCCACACAAAAAGCTGAACCAAGAGCTGATGAGATAACCTTATACGAAACTGGCAGAGTGAGCGATTTTCGCCATGGCCCGAGGGCTATAGCCCACTAGATCGCCACGAATGGAGCCAAGGTCAAGTCGGGTATTATTATTTGTAACCGATTAGAGCTTGCCACACCGATATCTTGTTATGCATTATGTTTACACACAGATGTATGTATGATGCGATGATGCCCATGGGGCCTTGCGAAAGTCCCACGCGGAATTCCTGAACTTCGACGAAAGGTGAAACTGGTTTTTGGGCTCAGTTTTCAGTTTTTGTTTTTTTTTTTTTGGTTGTTTTTCATTTACGGATGTCTCCCGCAAGCGATAAAAACCCATCAAATATCCGTGTGTATTGAGATCGTGTAAACAATTAATGCGAATTCGAGAGAAAAGCTAAAGCTTTTTGAAAAAATTGTGCAATTGTTGTTTACAAAAGGGTTCTCAATGCTCGACCGATCATCAACTTGGATGGTTATATAACAAAGGGGCTTGTCTTGATCGTTAAACATATATGGTACACGGAGGAAAGTTAATGGGTAATAAGTTTGGCTCTTAAGAAATGTAAAGGAAATGTGGTTTTATGTTTGAAAATTATGTTTTTTAATATTAATCAAACATGGTATCCGTTTTTAATAACAATATCCTTTTAAGTGGTAAATTTTAACGTTTTAAAGACATTTTTAGTATCCCACAAAGTTTTGATTTTACTTTCTCAGTTTACAACCTTACCATACCTTATCTTAACCATAAAACTATACTTTCCCAAAATATAAACATTTATATATTATTCTAAATTGTTAAAAAAGTATATAAAACATAGATAAAACCCCCCAATTTCCCTCACTGCGTTCGCTAATCAACCTGACTTGACCAAAACAAGCCCACTTGCACAAGAAGCGAAAGCTCATCAGCCACGAAATTTCGCATAATTTCAGCATAACTGTCCGCTGAAAGATCTGAGAAAAAAGACCACTCGCTGGTTTTGAAAACGAAAAGATTGCTCAGCAAATCTTTTGACTCAATAAAACAAAAAAAAATAAAAACAGAAACAGTCTCTCGGCTGCTGTTAAATTATAGAAAGCTTTTCCGCAAGCTTTTGACGATTCACATCATTGGCCACATTGGATACCAAGGGGGGTTTTCAGTTGCCAGTTAGCTGGCAATCGCAAAGGTTTACTCGATTACCGCAACTCAGTTGAAAAACTCCTCAAGGAGTCGCGTAGCAAAACGTTAGAAAACATTGTTTTGAAATGTCCAATTAGATGTTTGTTAGTGTGTTGAAATTTTTGTGTTTTATGAGAAAATTATAGTGGAAACTCAAAACTAAAAGCAGACATAAAAACTTATTTAACAATTTTTAAACTGTTTAAGAAAAAAGAAAAAACAATACAAAAATGGAAACTACAATTGTTACCACAACAACAACCACAACCGAACTGAAATGCATTATTCGCGGCAGTAAAAAGAAAGATGTAAGCTGTCATTCCAAACTCTGAAAATTTTAAGTGTTTTTTTAACTAAAGTTAAACAAAGAAATTGTTAAACTACGTCAATGGCTAATTAATGACTATTACATCCTGTTTATCAATGGCATTCCATTAGATTTTACTATTTACCAACAATTACCAGCTTTGTTAGCTAGAATCTGGAATATTTGTTGTCGAGTGTTTGTTTCGAAAATATTTAACAACTTATAGTACAGCGTTAATAAGCTTGTGTGTAGTTTTTAACAGTATTAAGTTTCTATTAAACTTTTATTTTGATATTTTTAATGGTAAAAATTGGTTGTGTAATGAGAGAGGTGAGGTATTTGGTTAACAAATTTGTAGTTTTTAATATAGAAACGTATTTAATAACTCCTAAAATCTATCAAGTATCTAATCTATCCATCCTAAAAAATTCCAATAAAATATCTAATTTTTGTCTTATAAAAATGTTTTTAATTTCCTAGAAAAACTAGATCAAAAAAGTATCTTCCCTAAAATGTGCTTTAAAATTTACTTTTTACACATGTGCTTTGTTTTTCTATGATATTTATGATATTGTATTACAAAGTCTCTCATAAAGTTATTAATTTTTCAAGGAAAAACTTCTACAATTTCCACACAAGCCTAGCAGCTGTATAAATATTTGATATTTGAGAAAACTTCATGACGTAAACATATCCATTTCGATTTTAGCAAATACAAAATCTTTATTTGCAAATAGGTAGCAAAAGCAATTAGCTTTAACCCTTTAGTGACTCTTTGACTGAATTGTAGGCGTTTTAAGAATGTACTTAGAAAAGTAGTTACAATTTTACTTTAGTGACTAATCACTAGTTTTAACAAATATGTAGGTCATATTTATGAGGTCTTTGAAATACTAAAAAAGTAAAGACAAATCGGGTTTGCTATTTAATAGCACATTTTAGTTTAAAACCTTTGACTTAAGAATCATTTTTAAGGGCATTTATACATTTTAGGAAGCAATAAACCTATTTAAGCTTCTCCCTTATGCATTTATTCATTACTTTTTTAAGTGCATATCAAGTGCATTTGCTAACCAAAAACGTAAAACAGAAAAACAATAAAAATTGTAAACAAAACGTCATCGAATTGGATAAGATACTTGCTTATGCACTTGCACTTGCCCTCCCACATCTCGCTCTTATTGTTGTTGTTGTTGTTATTATGCATTTAGATTTAGAAGCTGGATAAACAAATTACAGTCAGGCCCCCTTTTCGCAGTTGCTGTTGTTTTTGCTGTTTTTTGTTTATGGGGTTTATAGGGTTATTAGTGGTGTTGTTATTATGGCATTTTTGCAATCCACGATTGTTAGTGTTGTTGTTTACACGAGAAACTAAAAACCAGCCAGGGAAAAACAACAACAACAATAAATACAAGGAACCGCAGAAGAAAAAAAAGATAATAATAAAATCAGCAAACAAATCAATTTTGTGCGACTGCAGTTTTGGGTCTAAAAATATACATATCAAAAACGAAATGAACGGCCAGTTGGCAACGTCTGTTTTATAAGGCGGAAGAATCTTAAAAACATAAACATATATATACTCGTATATGCTGCCGTTCTTGTCCTCAATTCAAATTAGTTTTTAAGCTGCCGCTCGCTCTAATCGATAAGATTTCTTAATTTTCTTTAACTATCTGTATCTTTCAGATTGATGGCCAACCGGTTACGGATACAACGGATGCATCGCATCAGTTTCCGTCCAACGAGGAGCCCAATATTCTGGGCCATGGACCGCAATACGACGAGAAATTGTCCAAATTCAAATGGCTCTGCAATTTCGATGATGTGAGTTTAACCCTTAGCGAACTTTGGGGGTCAATTTGTTGTGGCAATTTGTCGGGCACAGAATTTTAATTGATCGCAAATTGTATTTGGCGAATTGACAAAAAAAAAAGCACTACGATCAGGGACAAATTGGCCAAAGAAAAGATATATTGTTGTTTTTATCAATTAACATGGCTTGTAACTTGGATTTTGGCTTATTGTTATCGTCTCTTATATGAACGATGGTTGGTTGTAAAATGGCCAAAACGCCGAAATATGTGAAATCCACAGCGGCATTCAAGTTGGCAGCAATTGCAAAATAATACAATTAGACAAACCAAACCCAACAAATGCCAACTGAATCAAGGTCTCGCCAGCAGCAACAAATAAAAAGCTCTTCGCTGGCGGGCATTAAATATTTAAATAGTGGTGGTAAATAAAAAGAAGCTACTGTAGTTTTTTGTGAGTGTATTTAATACGTATGCTTTACATGTCTGTGAAAATCCCCAAGGTAACTAACTCCCGAAACGCTTTGGTTTGTATTGAACTTTTTTGGGATTTTTCAAAACAATCAGTTTCGGTTTTTAGCAAGTTTCCAAGCAATTTAAAACCAGACTTTAAGTGGGCTTGGAATGGTAATTGCTTCCGATTCAAAGGCTTTAATTAAGGCATAAATGTGAGTTAATGTATGCTAACTAGTGTAAAGTTAAAACCTATAAGCTTAGATATAGAGATAGATAGATAGAAATAGAGATCAAAAAACCTTAACAATGTCTAAACAAAAAGTTCTCAGCATTTAAAAAAACATTTCTCAACAAGATTCCTAACTAGAATAGAAATTGTATTAATTGGTTTTATTTATTTTTAATTGAACAAAGTGAAAAGCTTTTTCGCTTTAGATTGGGCTTGCTGCCAGAGCCAAAAAGGTTTCCTCCATTTGTGTTTGGGGCTTTTCCTTTGTTTTGTTTTGTTTTTTTGTTTTAAGTTTTCAATGTTACGCATTCGATTTGCATAGTTCTTATCGGTTTGGAAAAGTTTGTATTTATTTGGAATGTTTATTCAACGATTTTTTGTTTTGTTTCCATGCAGGCCCCCAGCCACTTGAAGTTCAACCCTTACATCCGTCGCGGATACCGCACATTCCTGTCCAACAAGCTGTGCCTGCAGAGCATTTTCTGGTGGACCAATGAGACAGTAAGAATGCACTGAAAAGAATTTAAGAGTTGAAAAATCTTACTTAATATCGTATTTCTATAGATCAACATCTGGAGCCATTTGGCTGGTTGCATCCTGTTCATTGGCCTGACGATCTTCGACCTGCAATTCCTTCGCCTACACGCCTCCTTGAGTGATCAAATCCTGGTGGTCTGCCTGCTAGTTTGCTTCTGTCTTTGCATGCTGATGTCCGCCATATACCATATATTCTCCTGTAAATCGGAGGAGCATTACGAAATCTTCCTATCGGTTGACTTTCTGGGCATCTCCCTCTCCCTGGTGGCCATCTATATCAGTGGAATGTACTATGCCTTCTGGTGTCATACTTTCCTGCGTACCCTGTACTCAACGATTGCCTTGGGGATGTTCGGCCTGGCCATTGCTGTGCAGATTCCAAGACTGAATGTGTCCATGAATGCCAAGGTGTCGGTTCTGCTGCTGTGGTCTGCTTATGGAATCATTCCGCTGGGTCATTGGGCAGTGGCGATGGGTGGTTTGGAGAACGAGCTAGTCAGGGTAGGTGTTCTTAACTCTGAATTTAATATTTTTATTAATAATTTACCAATTTTTATAGCTTATGGTGCCCCGCATTGTGGTCATGTACTTGCTCTGCCTCGTCGCCTTCGTTTTCTATGCCGCCAAAATCCCGGAGCGCTGGTTCACCGGAAAGGTGGACTTTGTGGGTCACTCCCATAACTGGTAATTGATAGCTATTTAATTTTAAAATCTTCAAATTAACTAATGTTATTACACCGTTAACAGGTGGCACCTGATCATTGTGGCAGCCTTCTATCACTGGCACAACACTGGACTGGTCTATGCCGAATATCGTCTGAATAATGGCTGCAGTGCCCCCGTTCTAGCCTGAGATTTGAGATCATAAATCTAAGATTAAGGATCAAATGATCTTAAGATCTGAGGAGCCAAAAGTGGAACCGGGACTCTAGTAGACTCTAGCATAGTGTAAATAGTTTATGGGGCGCTCTTGATCCGCTACTAACTAATATTTAGTTGTAGTTTGTTGACCGATATGATTAATTTATGTGTAATTTACCAATTAGTTAGGGTTTTTTTCGTGTTAGTCAATCCAAATGAGAGTTGGCATCGCACGTTGGCTGGACGGTTTCTCTCTTTATTTCCTAATTCATTTCATTTTATTATAAACAATGTCCTTGGAATTGCATGTGTCTTGAGCTGAAGCTGTGTTAGTCTTGTTGACTCGATTTTTACAATTACTTTAAATGCAAATACAATATCAAAAGTACAAAACAAAAGTGATGATAGTCTTTATTTTTCTTAAAAGAACTTAATCTTTGATTTCTGGGGTTTTCAAAAGCTAACGGCTGTTCTGTTCTGTTAGTGAAATAACATTAGCGGTTAACAGAGAGTGTTAACGTGACCACTTAAAAAAACCCATCCACTCAGCGAAAAAAGGAATCGACTAGGCCCTAACATAATATCAAACATATATCGGTGGTCAATATTGATGGTCAAAAACGAAACTAAAGAAATTTTAAGATAAAATGATTTTCTAATACTTACAAAGCTTTAACATTTCAGTTGGCGGAAAATTAGAAAGGCTTTGCAGACTACTGTAACCGAAGTTTCAAACCCAAGAAATACATTAAGCAAAGACTCTAGTATTGGTTTCAAACTCTGCTAAACTTTGGCGGAAAAAAAGCTGATCTTACATCTCTAAGCTAAACGATCTGGCAGCACAACGGCACGCCAATACCACATCTCTGAACCGAGCGAACATTAACAAAACAAATTCCGAGTCGGACGGTTATCAAGCGCGCTGCTCGTGTTTCTTGCTGCTCGTCAAGATATTCCGGAACCGAACAGTTCGGCGACGGCGCGAACTTAATAATACAAAATACTACATATATTTTTTTCTGAACCAAAAAATCGGATTATTCAGTGATCAAACCAACGTTAATTAGTTTCAATTAGGCGAAAATAAGAAAAAATAAAAAGGAGTCCAAACGTTTACAACAGCAACAAGAAATGGAAAGAAGAGGCAGAAACTGTGAGCAGTGATCGTTTGCTTGTATTCATCTCTCTCTCTCTATATAAATATATCAGTGTGTGTGCTTGTGTGCTGGAATGGAATGCAGTTACGAAAAAAATAAATAAATAATTGAGAGCGCGCCCGCGCTCTCCCGCTCTCTCTCTATCTTCACCTTGCGCGCGTGTGTGAGTGTGTCTGTTCCGTGTGTGCCAGTGTGTGTGTGTGTCTCCATTATCGCCGGAGTAAAAGAAACGGAATGAAATGTCTTTGCTAATGTAAACAGCGCAAAGAGAAACCCCACGAAAAATAAAGCAAGAAGTAGATAGCAAAAAAAAAAAAGAAAGAAAAGCGCGCTTCGGGTGAAATATAAAACAAAAGTTTCTCAGACTCCCAAAAGCAAATACACAGCGAGAAAAATATATATTGTAAAAATGCCGAATTTACAACAAACCGCTTCGCAATCGCAACATCATTTGCATCCCCACCACCTGCGACCCCAACAACAACAACAGCAGCAGCATCAGCAGCAACAACAACAGCAACACCATCATCATCATCATCATCATCATCAGCAACACCACAGCGATTTTCCACTTCCCGATGGTTGGGATATTGCCAAGGATTTCGATGGCAAGACATACTACATTGACCACATCAACAAGAAGACCACCTGGTTGGATCCCAGAGATTGGTAAGTACACCTAAAGACGGAGTTTTGAATTAGAAATTTAGACTTTTATTGAAAAATAATGGTATTGAGATTGGCAGATTTCAAATTCAGTTGGTTTGTAGGCAGTTTACAAACTTGAAGTTCCCAATTGGTCAAATTTCTAACATAATTCCAATTCAATATAGGCTTAACACTGGAATTCAATTGTATTAAACGTTGTATCTCTATAAGACTAATATTTAGGTTGAAATAGTTATCAGAAAGTTCCATTTACTCAATCTTATTAGGTTAATAAGTCTGAAATGTCTGGTATATGGGCTAGTTTCTACAAAAATGGAGATTCATTCAAGATTTTCTGAGGTTCAGTATAACATTTTCAAATGACAATCCTGGCTATTTTAAGGTCTAAAATAAACCTTAATTCTTCAAAAAATACTCCTAAATACTACTATAAAATCGTGATAGATGACAATCTTCTTACCCATTTACATAGACTTGACTTGGCTAATAAGAGTTTCATTATTGATATCATAATCCCCGTAAAAGAATCAATCTTTTTGTTTACAAATACTTAAAACGCAGTTTAATCAAATCCTTATTAATCCCCTAAAAAAAAACACTAAACTCAGGTGAGAGATCAGCAGTTGGCTGATTCAGGAAGCTTTGCCAAACAAGCTGAAAAAAAACCCATATAAATTCCGATACCGAAGCGCTCTTGAACCGGAAAGAAAAGGTGCGTGCTGCAGCTGTGTGTTTGCGTGTGTATGTATGTATGTATGTGTTTGTAAAGGAATGCGATCGGTGGAGGCAAAAAAAAGAAACAAAAACAAAGAGAGACAGCGAAATAAATTACATATTTTAAACAAGGCAACGGCAAAACAGGCAAAACAAAACGGAACGGGGAAAAAACTTGGAGTAAACATTCCGATTCGATGATTAAGACTCCAAATATAACTGAACTGAACTGAGAGTGGCAACAAACAAAAAATGAATTGTAAAGGCAAAAACTAAAAAACAAAAAAAAACACAGAAAAAATAAAGAAAATAAAGACTAGAAAACCCAGAGAGCAAAAGTTAAATAAAGCTCGGCGAATGATCTGCAAAAAAAAAAAGGAAAACAAAACCAACAAACTCATACGTAATGAGTGCAAGAGAGAGAGAGGGAGAGGCAAGCGAGAGAGCTGCGATCAGGCCATGTATCTCATAGATACATTTTAGTTTGCCGTTCGCTCACATTTTTTGTCTACCCTCTCGCTCTGTCTTCCGCTGCCGCTTCTTTCGCTATCTCTCTCTGTCGCTTTGCCCATAAACAATTGCAAAATGTACGTAGGAATTTTTGCAGTTTCGAAATAATTGATTTCTGAAATTCTTCGCCCTCTCTGCTCAGTTTAATCTTTCGATTTTTACAGAGAAAGAATTGAGAGAGAGATATTAAAGTGATCTTATATGATAATCGATTTTTGTGAATGTAATATCAGGCTAAAAAGGCTGTAAATTGAGGCCTTTTAAATTCAAAAACTTTCATCCAATGATATCTAAAATAACTCAAACTGATATCTTATCTAATTTTCTTTCTGTGCATTTCTATCTGTGTATTGTTTCAGTTCGTTTGCGACTGTGAGTGCGCTTCACGCTTTCAATTAACACAAACATTCCCTTTGTTTGTTTCAAATTGCATGGACATTGTTGAAAATGTTTCACTGAATTAAGCGTTGTGGAATTTCAGTATTTTCCCCCCTCATATTTCTCTCTTCCCCCCCATTCACTCCTTCATCTGCGCCTTTTTGAAAATGAAACGAAACATCTGCGCATTTGCTAGGGTTATGCATCAAGTAGATTATATATGCACACATGTCGTTGGAATGTCTGCCAATGGGCAGGCACAACAAAGCGGCGATCTATGTGCGTTCCGATTTCAGGGTTAAAGATATTTCAATATCTGAAGGATTTTCAGGGATTTAATTGCGTTGTTATAGTGTAGATGACCCATTTTTTCATTTAATTATGTAGAAAAGGAAAGCCTTGGTTTCTTTAGATACATTTCTATAAGAGATACAATATTGATAGCTCATAAGAAAGTTACAAAATTTTTGGTGTCATCTAATCACTATATTTCTCCATTTAGTTACACATTTCCAAAATGCGTTTCACCATCCGCATTCAGCCAACAAAAATCTTCAAAGTCGTACTCCCTTTTATAGGTATTTGGCAAGTTTTTTTTTTGTAACAAAATTAGTAACGCCCCCTACCCATACTCATTGCTATTGAATTTTAAAAATTGCTGCCGGTAGCGCGCAAAAATTCCAATAAACCATAAATAAATTTCTACAATAAAGCGAAGCGAGCCAGGCCTCGGGCGGCCTTTAAAGGCCTCGCCACGTTTCGAGCACAGCCAACAGAAATCATAGAAAAAATAAATATCTATTTCGAATACGAGTAAGCGAGGTCGAATTATCGATACCCTTGAAATTCAACCGATAATTGCTAAGGTTTTCTAAAATTATTTTTCTGTTTTTATTTCGACATTTAAATGACTAAATAATATTCTGTTTTTAATGAATGAAAAATATTGATGTTTCATGTTGTGGGTTTAAGATAAGCTTAAAAACTCTTACTATATTAAGTATAATGTTTAAGCTTGTGAAAAACCCATGGATCATCTCTATGAGTTATTCATTTTCTTCGAAGGATTCCAAAAGTCATGACAAATTCCATTGGAATTTCCTCCATTTAACTTAATGAATGTTTCGCTTGTTTGTACAGCAATTCGAATGGGCGTTGCGATTTTCGTTGCTTTTTGGCTCTCTTTTTTTTTTTTTTGTATAAACAAAAGTTAACAACGACTTGACTTGGCCATGCGATTTGGCATTTTTTCGCCATCGCCGCCGCCGTTGCTGTCTTCTTCTTTATTTTCTCATATTTTTTTGGCCAATTGTTTAGCCACAAACAAGGCGGCGACACAGTGGAATATTTTTCGTGTGCGTTTTTAGACACAAAACGTGTTTGGTGACAGTTTTTCGATCTATTCATAGGAGCTACAAATAAATAAAAAATCATCAACAAGAAAAAAAAAACTTAAGTATAAAATAGCAAAAAAAATTGGTTGGCTACCAGTTGGGGAGATAGTGACTCGAACTCGTTTGTTTTACATAAAACTCAAATCGCCGCCAAAAAGGCCTAGCGAAAGCGGTTAACGATCGCTGTCATAAGTCGGACAGAGTGGCGCCACCGGCGGGGGCTGTACTTGACTATCTGCATCCGATCGGTAGCTCAGAAAAGTTATAATAAAAAAGAAATAGGATGCACTGAGAATAAATGGTAAAAGTATATTTATAAATTCTGGAATTTGGATATAAATATTGAAGAAAATATCATGGAAATGTACAAAAGAAGGATAATGAAGATGATAATGGGGTTTGCTCGAAGAATCCTATTAAAAACTGGTCAATAATTCTCTTCTTTTTGGTATGTTTATAAGCTTAACTTCAACTTCACATAAGTTACAGCTTCTTTTTTTCTGTGTACTCCACTCTTAACCAGATTGTAGCGTTCTAATTCCACCTGTGGCATTTTAATACGAGAGCGGACAATCAAGCGGTTGGTTCGATGGATCGCTGGATCGACCAATTGCATAAAGAACGCAAATCAGGCGATCGAAACAAGAACTGAAAAATGAAAAATGAAAAAAAAAATAGGGGAGAGGCGTGCATGCGTGTGCTGGCTGGCAGGCATTATGCATTAGATGTGGCGATTTCTATCCGAGTCAAAACGAGCTAAAAATTTGCATAAAATTCAATTTGGCTTTTGCAGCGAAAGATGCCAGCACATGTACGAGTATGTATTTAGATACATATATATAACTATCTATATATATAGGTATATATATATATATATAAAGTACAAACATATATGCGCTGGCCTGTACATGTATAGCAACTTGGAAAGCTGCAAAACGGCATTTTTCATTTAATAAATTGCACAAGGCAATGCAGCAACAACAGCGGCAGCAAGAAAAGTGGAAAGAATGCAGATGCATTGCCGTTTGCTGTTGCAACTACAGTGTTAGTTGTCATAGAAACAATGTCAAAATGTTGCAATGTTGCAAGACAGTGCTTAGTAAGAGATTATAATTAGTAAATCTAATTAACAAATCAATCAATAATCAATCTTTGGAAATATGATCATATCTGATGAAATATTGCATATATCATAGTAACAAAAAGTTGTTTCACTTAGGCAATAACCACTGTACGCGGACAACAGATGCAGATACACAGCAGCGGCAACAGCAGCAGCATGCATTGCATTTGTGCAACAAGTATTTCCACTTAACAACAGCAACAACAGGGAAGAAATTGTTGTTGTTGCGGCTGCTGCTGTAGTTGCGACTGTTGCTGTTGCTGCTGCTGCGGCTGCTCCCTGTTGCAGTCGAAGTCGAAGTCGAAGCCGTGATTACAATTTGATTACGCGCATGAATGCAACGCGCGGCTTTGCCAGCAGCAACATTTTCTAGTTTGCTGTACGCGGGCCCAAAGCGTTAAAAAATATTTTCTTTTGCACTTGCAAGCTGCAGCAGCAGCAACTCTGCGACTCAGCGACACTCGCTGGCCAAAGATAGTCACATGGGTACATTATGTATCTGACAGATACATAAGCGAACTTTAGTCGCTCCTCGCACCGCATGTTTTGCCCATTTAAGCGTCTGTTTTTCCACGAGACTCGCCGCTGCTAGCTAGCTAGCTAGCTTGCTTGCTGCTGCAACTTGCTGCCACCTAAACTGCCATCTAAAAAGTGGCAACAACTTCCAGCCAACGACAACAACTTCCAGTCAGCAGCAGCAACAACGACGAATCTGCAACGACTTTTCCTGTCTCGCACTTGTTGCATGTCAGCGGCGACGTTCTTCAGCAATCAACACTTGTGATTTTTATCAAGCATAATGATTTCCTTTTCAACATGTGCTAATTAAGAGGGTCCAAAGGAAGGAGGGGCCTTGCCGGGGGAAAAACAAGCCAAAGGGT